GACTCCATTCAACCTCCAAACATAAGACACTCATTTGTACATGCTTTCATCACACTCAGATGTCTCCTTCCTACCAACTGTCGCAGTGGCATTTTTTATTTGCTGAATCCCTTGGTTATCTGCAACCTTCCTGATGGCAGGGAATGCAATTGTGTTACCACTGTACTCCCAGAACCTCAGTGTCTGGCATATGTTAGGTGTTTAACAAATAGCTGATGAAAAGAATACTATGAAATATATTTAATTATGAAAATGTTTCAGCTTCAGAGAGTATAATAGCCCTAAATCATTCAAATCAAGGCTGAGAAAGCATAAGGCTGAGCTATTCTCTTTTCAATTACAAAAATACAAGAAAGATTTTGCTGTTATTTGGGTTTAAACTGATTATGGAGAAAATTCTCAAAAAAGATCGACTAATAATTTAATAACACTCCTCTGCATATGTGTGAAAATGATCACTATTAAAACCTATTTTTAATGGAATAAGAGTTCATTTTCAAAAAGCTTCATACAGATTAGGCCAAATTAAAGAAGAAAAGCTATCACTTAATTTATCAGGCACAGTATTAAAGCACCCTATACATATTTTTAAATTTAATTTTCGTATCTGGTCATTACTCTCAGTTCACAGATGGGGAAAACTGAGGGTGCAAGAGTCTAAGGTTTCACACTAAGTGGCAAAGCCAGAATTTTTATCTAGGTCTATTCGATTCCAATATATATATATATATATATATATATATATATATATATATATATATATATTTGTTTGACTATAAGCCATGTTTTAAACTAAGACATAAACGCTGACACTGAGTAATGATGTGCTGCGCCCTCCCACGAAAGCATACAATCTGATATCACCAATTGGGCAAATGCCCAAGTATTTAATATAGGGTTTGGATGCCAATGGTGTTGCAGCAGAGAAATTAGGCAATTCATGAAAGAAGAAGAAGGAGGAATATGAACTAACATTTGCAGAAACTTTGGGTTATGCCAGATATTGTATTAGATGCTTTCATATACAGTATTTCTTTTAATTCTAAGAATCCTGTGACTTGGGTGGTGTTAGTCAAGAAGAAGAGTTGTAGAGTAACCGTGGTGTTTGGCTACCCCATGCTCATTCTCTCCTGCCTTCCTGAGGGGAAGGAACCCCCGCATTTTAGCTGGGCGTAAGGCTCCTGGGGTGAGGGCAACATAACCATCTCTAGTTCAGCGAGGTGAGGTCATGTGACTAAGTTCTGGCCAATGAGATGTAACAAAAAGTGTTGGAGAGCATCAGGAAATTTCCTTAAGAAAGGCTTTTGCCTTTCCTGTCTACTTCCCTTACTTCTTTCCTCCTTTCTGCTACTTGGAACCGGGATGTGATGGCTGCGCTCCACCTGGGACCATGAAGATGAGAGCCTCACTTAATACATGGTAGGTGTAAGAGGTGACACCAGCCTAGGTCTCAGAAGACTGTAAAATCATCAGCCCTGGATTCTCTCTCTATAACCTTTTTTTCCCCCCAAATATGTGAAAGAGAAACAAACATCACTTTGGTTAAGTCATTGTTTTTTGTGGTCTCTGTAACTAGCAGCTAATCTTAACTAATCCGGCAACTCATCTGAACCCAGACATATCAGTGTGCAAAGTCCATGCTCTTAGGTAGAAGCCCGAAGAACTCCAGCTTATAATTTGCAATACATTGGGGGCAGGGTAGTATGAAAATGCTGCAAAGGAGTTTCACAGAGGAAGGAAGGTTTGAATATGCTCTCAAACTGGCATACTTGAGAAACAATCAGAAGGAATACCCTACTTGACAGTGAAGAATTCAGCCCCCATCAGAGGTGGGCAGAGGAAAATCACAGACACCTGCCTGGTGCTGGAACCAGAAGAGAAATAGAAGCTGTGTAACTGGTAGCGTCTGTGAAAGCTGCTGCTGGCTGGGGAGGAGGCACCGTAGAATGGAGCCCTGGAAATGAACACAGGATGAGACAGACAAGGAGGGTTACAAGAAACACTGAAATTGAAGAAGTAGGAGATGAAGTTCAAAGATACAGTCTGGAAAAGGACAGGCAGAATCATGTGACCCATATCAAAGCCAGCACAAAGGTCAAAAGGCAAAAGGAAAGACCAAGGCTGAAGCTCTGACAGCTTTTTATTCACTTCCTCTCTCCCCAGTTCACAACAGCACTGAAGTCAATTTAAATTATGTTGGAATAGAGAAGAATTCCTAAATGAAAGCCAGGAAGTTTATTATTATCCTTTGTTGAATTTCTAAATGAACAGCAATGATAGGAAATTAGAAGAGAAATTCAGTGACTGGAGTTAGGACCAATTTTATTTAACATCTTAAAGACCCAGAAAAGAGGGGAAAAAAGGAAAGAAAAAAGAAAAGCAAAAGCAAAAATGTTAGTTCAATATGAAAACAGACATGACATAAATAAGAATGCATTTGTAACTGGTTAAAAAAAATTCTGTGCTATAACTGGGCCTCCAAAATTCCTTTCTGAGTCTGAATTGCTCCAGGATTCTGTACTCTGGAGTCAGGACAACAGGGAGAGATATGCTTCCCATATGAAAAGCAACATACATCATTCCACTAAGTCTGGAATAACATGACAAATTCAGTATACATTTGTTGCTGAAAATACCAGTGTACAAAAATGCTGGAAAAGAGAACAAAAATAAAACTTAGAACTTCATCTTGAGAGACAGTAAGTAAAAATCAGGGATTAGATTAAATAGGATATTTTTAACACAGGCAGCAAAAAATCAAAAAGGAACATAAAAATACTCTTAAGCCATCAAAAAGAATTTGAAAATTAAAAAATAAAACTCGTTTACAAATAAAAACTTTAGTTAAAGCAAGAATTTTCTAAATGTTATAATATTTGCCCTCTTCAACTTCAGATAACAGAACAAAACAAAAAAATCACGAATTTCAGGTTACTGCAGGAAAACAGCCACACAGTTTAAGAAAACTTGGAGGGATAGTGGAATATTATTCAGGACTCAAAAGAAATTAGCTATCAAGCCATGAAAAGGCATGGAGGAAACTTAAATGCACATTACTAAGTGCAAGAAGGCTATAGACCCTAATGATTTTAAGTATGTGACCTTTTGGAAAAGACAAAACTGGATATAGTCAAAACATCAGTGGTTGCCAGGGGATAGGGAGAGAGAGGAATGAATAGGTAGAAAATAGGATTTTTTTAGGGCTGTGATACTATGATACAGCATCATAATCTGATGATACTGCAATAGTGGATACATGTTAGTATACATTTGTCCAAACCCGTAGAATGTACACCACCAAGAGTGAACCCTGACGTGTATACTGTGGACTGTGGGTAATGATGACATGTCAATATAGGTTCATCCACTGTAACAAAAGGACCACTCTAGTGGGGCATGTTGATAACGGGGTAGGCGACACAGGGGGCAGGGGGTATGTGGAAAGTCTCCGCACTTCACTCTCGATTTTTCTGTGAATCTAAAACTGCTCTAAAAAAATAAAACCTATTAAATAAAAAAAACTCAGATGACCGGGTATTCTTTTCAAGTTATATTGATTAGGACTTTTTTTTCATTTTAATTATTGTTGCTTTCATTATGAGGATTCTGAAGTATGAAACAGCAGTCGTCTTTAAAAAGCAAATGAAATCACTCCAGATGAAAAAATATTCATGTTGGAACAATGGAAGAAAAAAACAATAAGTTTCAAAGAAACTTATTTACTATTTCAAAGAACAATAATTTTTATTCTAACACATGTTTTCTATTATAAAACATTTTGTGGGGATAGTAGGCATGAGAAAAGTGCCATGATTCAACTGTAGACTCAGGGACAACTCTGCCCCCTTCATTACCTGAACTAAGAGAATATCAGACTATAAAGGCTTCTATCCTTAAATCACACTTGCCCAGTTACGGAAGAAACCAGCTGTCATTTTACATTCTCTTCAAGAATGAAGCTTTGAATAGGTATGCCATGGGCAAAGGAAAGTCACCTTGGCACCCTCAACTTAAAGAGCATTTGGGGTTCTCAGGGGTCTTGGAATTGTTACACAATTATACTCTACCGCAGTTTGGCTTCTTTCGTGTGCTTCAACCCTACATTTAGGGTTAGAAGACAAGATGGTCTGACAAAGGCACATGCCATTTAATTTCTTCTTAGAAAGAGGTGCACAAATTTCCTATTTTAAGTTAGCTGCCCATTTACAACTTAAAATGTTCATACTGGTATCTTTTTACAGTTTTAAAAAAGTTTTAAGGCAAGGCAAACTTATTCAAGGAAGTTCACTCATATGTTGTTTTTAAATGTAGGTTTGCTCTTTTCATGGCGTGGGTGGAAGGGGGTGCTAAGAAGGCGTGTTTCTGATCACAAATGTCATCTAAGGACAATCTTTGGACTTTGGGGAGTCAGTTGAGGACACAGAGTAAATGACCCAACACTGTACCTTCTCCCGTCTGACCTCTCACCACCTGCTCAACTGCACCCCAGGAGGAAACTCAGCTTTCCTCCCTACCAGGGTATTTGGTTGCCCCCTTCTCTAACAATCGAGTGCCAACACCATCAAATTGTTGGCGAACAATGAATATCCAATGAGCATAAAATGTTTGTCAACAGCGCAATGGCAGAGGGCAAAAGAGCGAGCAAACCCGTACACCCTCCGGAGAGGTCTAATTACCTAGAGGGTAGACTTTAGCTTGGAAAACCAGAACCCTGCTCCCGCACCGCCGCAGGACTCACACTCAGGTGCAGCGCCCAGACCGCTGGGTAAAGAGAGGACCGCCTCGTTGCGGCGGGGGATGAGGGAGCAGAGAGGCCGTGACTCATCGCTCTGGCCGAGCCCGCTGCCCGCAAGCCCGGTTCGCAAGCGAGGCGCGGACAGGTAACCGCACCTGTTCGGCCAACCCCACCTGCTGCGTCCCCTCACGGCGTCCTCCACCTCCGCCACCTGGGTCGGCTCAGCCCCTCCACCGAGAGCCGTGAACGTCCCACGCCGACCTACCTGCGTGAATCCAGCCCCGGACGCCCGCGCTCGCTGCGGCGTACACCCTGCGCCGCTCGGGGCGCGCAGGCGGCGCCCTGGCGCCCGCACTTTGTCGGCTGCCGGCGGCTGCGGACTCAGCGGGAAGCCCCAGCGCTGGCCGGCTCGCCGCCTCCGACCGGCTCCATTGTGACGCGGCGCCTTCCGCCGGCCAATCGCGGCGCAGCGGCGCGAACCGCTGACTAAGTTCGCGGGTGGAGGAGGAGGGAACTGGGCGGAGGCAGGGGGCGGAGGCGGTCGCCGAGGGGTGGCGGTGGCAGTGGCAGTGGCCGAGGGGGAAGAGGAGGAAGAGGTTGCGGCTGCTTCGGTAGCTGCTACTGCTGTTAAATTTACAGCAGCCTTAGCCCGAGTGTTTGCCCAGCTTTGAGAGTGCGGGGGGCAGTGACTCATCCCTTGCTGATGGAAACAAAGCGCAGCTGCCATAACCAGCGAGCGCGCCATGTGGCCGTCCCGGCCCGCTTTCTACCGCCTTTCGTCCCCCAGCGGCAGCGCGCAGCTACACATCTCCCCGGGGAGCTGCGGGGGGTGGGGGCGCTACAACGAGCAGGGACTTCTCCTGAGACTGGAGGGAGAGGCGGGCCGTGTGGGATTTGTACTTCCAAATCCTGCACTTTGGAAGTACAGGATTTCCGAGTGCCGCCCCCCGCCCCGCCCCCGGTAACTTGTGATTTACATAACGAGCGTTGGGCCCTAAGGGACGGCTCCGTTGGAGCACGCGGGAACCTAACCTGTTAGACGCAGTTTCTTTACCTTTCTCTACATTCGGTGGTTGGAAAGACTGCAGGGCTGAGCTTGGGGAAGAGTTTACAGTTGAAGCAAACTAGCGCCTTAAGTTAAAATTTGGGGCCTCCAGTACCACCCATCCCTCAAATGTCCTTATCCTCGGGATGGGGGAGAACAAAATGGTAGAGGGCCATCCTAAACTCATAACCAGCATTTAACAACTGTAGGGCTACCCCATCTACTGTTCCACCGTTTCCTTCTGCAGTTAAGTGGCCCTGCGTTTGAATAATACAAAGCTGGGAATTTGGGAAACTTAATATGTATTTTTATCATATACATTCTTCCCTAGTCCCATCTCAGGTTTAATTCAGTGTTTTTGTACGAACTGTCATCTTCAACAATGATTCAATTAGACAACATTTGTATCTCTGAGTTGCTATGGCGACCACATTCCCATTTAAAAAAAAAATGTTTGTACAGGGACCTCCCAAAAGTAAAGGAAGACTACTAAACGCTCAGCATCTGGGGCATATCTGATCAGTCTGTGTAAATGGGAGTAGAGAAAATGTCAGCTGAGTTATGTGAGACTGAGTTGTGTCCCACAAAGACTATGTTCAGATTAGCCTATAATCTGAATTACTGGGAAAGGGATTAAGAAGGCTGTCTTCATGACACTGCTCTTACTATTTTCTTGACCCTGCCATTCTGGGCTGGCAGCTGTCTTCTTAGTGAGTCTTAGAGGAAAGGCTGAAAGAACCTTCATTTGGTCGTTGACATAGTTTATTGAGCTTACATGTGAGAGACCCTGTGTATGTATAGATCTATTAAGCTGATTTAGATTTGGGTTTGATCCTTGGAGAGGAAGATTAAAAAACACACAAATATGAAACAAATATGAAAAAAGTGAGTGCTAGAAAAGACACTAATTGTAAAGTCTTAACATTAAAAATTGAGAATGTCTGATTTTCTATATATATATGTATCTTTGACTGTTTGGAAAACAATGTTCTCTTTCCTTCCAAATCCATAAATAAACAATTATTCTTCTGTTATAGCAGTGTCACTATCCATGTGATTTGGGGTAGTTATTTAACCTCCTTGGGTGCCAGTCTCTTCATCTAAAGTGAGATCTTACAAACTAAGATCTGTTAAGATTCCAATTCCAAAAGATGGTATGAATGAAAAAGTGACTTCCATGCTTGATAACCTAAGTCACCATTAGCAGGAAGTTAAACTGATAAAATTCATTAAAACCACATTAGAAGTGCATTTATTTTATTATAATTCTCATTTAAAAAATCACACTTCATGGTAACAACATATTAATGAAACTGGAGAAAGTGGGTTTCTAAATTTGTGATATTGCTTCTGGGAATACTTCTCTGAAACTGTAACATCAAATAGATGTTTCTCTTCTTTCTTCTTCTGAGAGGCTTCATACCAGCTCCTGCTTGCATGATAGTGAAGAGGAAGATAAATAACCTCAGAGGCTGTTCTGAGACCATAAAGGAGAGAGAAGAGTATTTTAGTAACTACAAATGATTTGCATCTCAGGATAGCCCTTAGAGTGAGAAATATAGTGTTTGGCTTTTCATGCCTGTGCTTAGTCAATCTCTTTGAAAATGGTACCTGTGGAATCTTGGAAAATATGCAGTCCATATTGGAGTATCTGAAATTCTCTAAGGAATTCTCTAATCAATTAATTTTGGTAAAAATTTTAAAAGACTCCATCCCTATTTCCACACAAAAATTCATTGAAGTCTGTAACAGTGATTCAAATTTGCATCATAGATATTAAGCAAATATTATGTGTCTATCAATCTGCTTGACATCAGGAGTGATATCAAAGAAGCATCAAACTTGGTCCTGGTCCTCAAGCTCAGCCACTCACCACTTAGACGAAGGTACAGAAAACAATCAAGTGCTGCTTACTCTGAAATGAAGAGAAGGAATAATGCAGGTGGTAGTAGTCAGAAAAAGCCTTATGAAGGGGAATTATAACTTAAGTATTGAAAGAGAAGCAATATTTGGGAAAACTAAATTCTGTACCTTTGCTTTATCTACCCCCAGTATTGTCTAAAAATGATTGACCCATCCTCAGGACTCAATCTCTTTTTTGGTAAACTGAGAATCACTCGAAGAAGCAGTAAAATGATTTTACTCTCTACACATCCCACTGAGTACAAAAAGAGCTACTGGGGGGGGAGGTCTTCATGTTCACGTGACAAAGGGATGACTAAACAGCACCTGTGGCACGTTTCTTCCCCCAGTGACGCAAGCAAAGTCACAAATAATAGATATGAAAGGAACAGCACAATTTGGTCATCTGGTTGCTTAGTTCCATGACTTTGGAATGACTTCATGACTTAATTCACATGAAGTAATCCACTAACACTCAGGTTTGGTACATCCCTTTTTAAATGATTCCCTCAGTTAGGGGTAGGAACCTCTGAGTGACATGATTGAGCTACGCTTCATCTGCCTGCCTCAATAAGAGTTTAGTTTTCTCTGAGTCTTAAGAAAATTTTTATGATTAATGGGAGAGAAGATACTATCTAATATTAACAGTTCTTTTCCAATGTATTCTTTTAAAAATTATTCATGTTAAAGAAAAATACTCTGCTACTTTAAATTAATCAAACATTTAAAGCCTACAGTGTATAAAAGAAAGCAATGGGGATCTGACAGAGGGGAGGGAATATGCCAAAATAAATATAATAATTCCTTTACTTAAAGACATAGCATGCTCTCTTCGGAAGGCATTTCCAGAAAGCATGCACCTTAAAGGGGAGATGAGGTCAGTGGGCCATGTAGAACAGGAGAAGAATCATACTGAACACGGGTCTGAGGACGTTTGGCTAGCTTTAAGTTTCCAACTCAAAATATTACTTTTAAATATTGTCTCAGCATCATGATTCAAATTGGTTAGTTCTATTGCGATGTCAGTTCAGAAGAAAATAACAAAAGAAGTCATTCACTGTTTTGCATTCTCAGAAAGTTTGCCAGAGTCCCCCTGATTCAGCTGTGTAAGATTGAGCATATCATCACTGATGAGGAATTTTATTTATTTTTGGTCCCTCGGCCGTGTTTTTCTACCCGTTTCAATTTCTGGGCTGCAGACATTTAACACGAGCTTTCCTAGAGCCTGGGGAAAGCTCTGAGAACGATCCCTGAGCACAGTGATGAGAATTCTCAGAACAGGATGAGCAAGATATTGCACATGTGTTTGGAATAACGTAGCTTGGCCTGGGAAGCCAAACTGTAATTGTGTAAGCAGACCAGCTGTGCATTTCTGCGTGCGTTGATCTGTTATCATGGTTGCAGTCTGAAACTTGCATGACTAGTCGCCCCGTGTTCTCATCACCCACCATGTTGATAGCCCCTCTGCTTTAACTGTACACTGCCCCCCCCCCCACGAGACAGGTGCTAGGCAGGTGACCTTCGGCCTCTTCTCCGAAGGAGAAGCACCAATTCCTGCAGCAGGGTGCCTGACCTCCCTAGTTGATCTGGGAAGTTGTCCAAATATTTCTTTGAAAGTTCCCCATGCCTCACATTAAGAGAATATATACTGTCATCTGGGTCACATATTGGAATCCACCACACGGTAGCCAGCTGGTTATTAACTCATGTCCATGAAAAGGAGGTGACTTCTAAGAAAATACCCACATGTGAGGCAAGACTGAACGCCTAGAATTAAAAGCAGAGCCGGTGTTCCTCAGCTTCTGCAAAGTGGTCTGATGAGTGCTGCCAGTGACTAAGGCAGTGTTTGCTGGGGTCCCTTTGAGGATGCAATCTGTGTTCCCCGAACCATGTTGCAATCTGGGCAAGAGGTTTCCCGGTGCTGGTTTCTGAAACTCCTCATACTTAACCCTTTCATTTCTTTGGTTCTGAGTAACACAAGGCCAGCAACAGCCAGACCTTGATTTTCCCCTCAGCAACTCTTGTGTGTGCATGTGTGTCTCTGTGTGTGTTTCTTGACCTATTATAAAACTATCTATTAGTTACAATTACACACCAAATACTAAACTTTAGTACTCATCAAACATGATTTGCTAAGAGCAGGAGCTAATACACCTATGGCTTATTAAGAATTAAAAAAATCAGAATGTTTTAAAATAACAAGATTCAGAATATTTTAGAGTTGGAGAGGAAATCGATATGTGCCAAGAAGAGCATCGGACTTGGAGTCTTGAGTTCTAATGGTACAGGCATGAGCTTCGATTTTCCAGTGTGTTTAATCTATCCTGGACTATATAGTAAAGGAAGACAGGTGTAGTTCCTGTTTCAGAAGTCTCAGACTTTATTTCACTCATTCATTTATCATACAAAA